TCCCAAGGGCAGTATGCACGGACACTGATTGAAAGACATGGGCTAAGGGATTGCAAGCCTGCAAAAACGCCCTTGGAACGACTAATGGATCCTAGCAGTAAAGAGTGCACAGCGCAGCTTAAATCGGAATACAATTCGATCATTGGTGGACTTCAATACCTCGCAAACAACACAAGGCCGGACATTGCTTTTACTGTAAATCATCTAGCTCGTTTCCTAGTTAATCCGTCAGACGAACATTTCCAAGCTGCTCGTCGAGTACTTCGATATGTTAGTAATTCACCTGATCAAGGACTTAATTTCAAAAGAGAAAAAGGCAAGCCTATACTTGAGGCCTACACTGATGCAGATTTTGCAGGCGATTCAGCGACAAGTAGATCAACCTCTGGGATTCTGATTAGACTCGCATCTGGACCAATCAGCTGGAAATCCCACCTACAGCGCGAAGTTGTTCTGTCCACAACTGAGGCAGAGTACCTTGCGGCAACTGAAACCTGTCGCCAATTACAATGGGTGAAATCATTATTTGAAGAGTAAGAGCTTGTTGATCAAGTCGAAAGAGCTATTCAGACTAGACTACATGTTGACAACCAATCCGCAATATCCCTCATCAAAAATCATGATAACCATCGACGCTCTAAGCACATCTCATTGAGAAATTTCTACTGTCGAGAGCAACACCAGAAAGGCAAAATCAAAGTGGTATATGTTCCATCATCCAATCAATTGGCAGACAGTTTGACTAAAGTCAAGTCACCAGTGGTCATAGAGTAAAATTGCATATTGACTAAACTGACAACATTATCACCATAAATCATAGTTGTTACCAACAGGGGGACTGTTGTGATGTGATTATTGCATTTACTCTAAATTTATCTCTGCCAAGTGCCAGGGATACAACACATCTATGCGAGTACTGCACAGCCCTACATGGCTATTATTACGATCGACTATTGAGGCGCAGCTCTATACAATGGCATAGAGTAATGTGGGATAGTATTGCTTGGAATTAAGATTGTAGTACTTCATGCATAGACGGTGATGTACTGTATCGCGGGTGCCAAATATGTGTATATAAGTCCTATCTACTACTGTGATATGTAGAATAATATAACCAAGCTATTCATCATATCGTCAAGCTCTGATAATCGTTATCCACCCTCTGCACTATCCCTAGAATATTCAACATCTCATACCTACTCATACCTTAATTACAACAGTGAGACTGCCAAAATTCCAAATTGCACGCCATTGAAGATTGAATCCGTCATCTTGTGAACTTGTCCCAATCCTCCCAGGTCCATCCCAAAGAACTGTCTCCCAGATTTGTGCGCCGCGCTTTGTTTCCTCCGTCGGTTGTGAATAAGTAAATAGGCATGTATTTGGTGAGGAGCTGAGGCAAGAGAGAGTTGACAGGAGGTATCGTCGTTGGAATGAGGATGTACTAGGTCGTACTTGCAGATTTCATGAGAGTTAGATAAAAATTGATCTCGTTGAGAATAAAAGATTGACGTGGTGGAGTATTTTGAATCATTGCCTCGTGGGCCAATTTCTTTGATATTGCGAAATTTGACTGAACATGGATCTGGGAGAATATTTCGCCCCAGGCTCGTAGAGGATACCGCGTATAGATGTTCATTCTTGCTCTCCACAGCTATCATTCGTATTTCTTGATGCAGACATCTTCTTGGTAATAGAGGGGTTCAGGAGCTCTGAGCAAGGACTAACCTGGGACACAGAGCAGCTCAATCTGCTCTTCTGTGTCTAGGACTATGGTTACACAACAAAACCCAAAACAGCAATGCTGTTGTACAATATTACAATCCCTTTGTCAATGTACGCAGATCTTACTAGTGCTCTGAGACTGGTCTAGAGTCATGCTAGCACTAGACTGCCGACAGTGAGGAAAGACTTGCTTCCTCAACAGTCACAGGAAGCTTGGGTCTTTCCTCTGCAACTCCTTCGTAACAACGGATCGGAAATATTTGATATCTAAACATGGACAACTGCTGCTTTGATAACTCAGATGCAAATTTTTCTTCGGCTGATAGCAGGGGTAATTTTAGAATGGACGCCTTGACTTTAACAATGGTAGGGGGGTGGGCTCAGGATGATAGATGCCGACTAAAAACCAATTCAAGTTGGCTTCGCTCATTTCCATTCTCTTTGTCATCTATTTCATGTGCAGTGGGCACAGATTTTGGTAGCCTGCGCATATTTGTGAAGAAGCAGGGTAGTACACGGGGCACAATTTTAATCAGTTCCAAAGGAACTAAGTCTGAACAAGTAGGAGGTTTCGACTTAGGATTCATAGATGGAATGATGAATCAGTGAGTCAAAAGCGGGTGTGTTCATTGACTTTTCGTCATCTGGTTATGGTGAACTACTCTCATTCAAACTTCATAATTAATGATGCTAGGGGGGGCACTGGAAGGCAAGATGTACGAACTGCCACGAGGACCTTGGATATTGCGGACTGGGGTCAAACATGTGGGAATGTAGAGACGAAGGCACGACAGAAAGCGGCTGAAAATGCCGCGGCCTTTAAAGAATGGGAACCATCCTGGACGAAACTGACAGCAAAACAACTTACAGTGCCTCTAGGTTCCAAAAGGTAAAACTTCAAACTGGGTCGTTGAAGGGATTAGCCCTGTAGGTGCAGTTGGGCTAGCTCGTAATAGGTTAGTATGTCTCTCCTCCTTACCCCGCTCGCCATGAAGTATGGTCCAATCGTCTTCTTCTAATAATCGCTTAGAAAAGCACATTTTCAATGACATTTTTGGTTGCCAAGCCTACACAATCACTGAAACTTCTCATCACTATCAATTCATCCTCTATTCTAGCAAACAATGTCTCTCGAAGAGTTTGCTTCAGAAACTAAAGTTCGCAAGCATCTAACTCGCGATCAATGTATAGAAATAAGAGCAATAAGAAGACTTGGCTTGACACTTCAAAATATATCCGACAAACTTGGCTTCACAATAAGACAAGTACAACTTGCGTGTGCTCGAGAGACTGAGAATCCTCTGTCTCGCAAAGGACCCTTACCAAAATTAAGCGCAGAACAAGTTGATGACCTTGAAGCATTCGTCCGGGAGTCTCCTGAAAATCGGCAGATGTGCTATTTGGAACTAGCCATGGGGCCCTTCAGCCACTGGGGATGCAATGAACGTCTAATTTCTAATGCACTCAAAAAAAGAGGCTACAGCAGATGCATTGCTGGGAAGAAGCCTCCGTTAAGCGCAGTGAACAAACAGAAAAGATTGGAGTTCGCCCAATTACATTTAGATTGGAGCGATGAACAATGGAGTCGCATACTGTGGACTGATGAAACCTGGGTTTCGGGTGATTGTCACATGAAACCTCGTGTCACAAGAAAAGTACGTTTAAATTCAATCTAAATCTTCCTTGTATTAACAGTAGAGTTTAGCCTGATGATGAGTTTGATGAGACTTGTATTGTGGCTCGCCATGCTGATGGGAACAGCTGGATGTTTTGGGGATCATTTTATGGATCACAAAAAGGCCAATTCCTAGTCTGGGAGAAGGATTGGGGATCAATGAGGGCCTCATCCTCTTGTGAAAGGATTTTGCCAATTTTGAATCAATTTCACTCGGAAAATCCAGAAATTTTATACATGCACGACAACGCACCATGTCACAAAGCGTACTCAACAATTGAGGCGCTGCGTGAGGTTGGAATAACGCCTATTAGATGGCCACCTTACTCTCCGGACCTGAACCCGATTGAGTCATTGCGGAATATCTTGAAAAACCACATTCAGGTAAATAGTCCAGAGAAAAATGGGGTCAGGCTTGTGCGCTCTGCCACGTTGAAGACATTGCTTCAGGATGCATGGGACTCTATATCTTCAGAGGAGCTATTGTCACTAGTTGGCAGCATGCACGAAAGATGTGTAGCAGTGATAAAGGCAAATGGAGGGTACACAAAGTATTAGGATGGAGAAGACACACAAAACATGTAGTACGCTTTCATTTTAGTTGCTAGCCATACTGAGGGCTTCGATGTAGACTTTTGTAATACAGAGCAATAATTTTTGAAATAGATGTGCATTTTTAGAGACTATCAACTGACGTTTTTCAATTTTGAATTTCAACTGAGGACCATTGTACCTTTCCCATTGAGTTCAAAACCATCCCCATAATTTAGACTTTCACGGAATGTCATTGGATAGTGCCCCTTGCTTGCATAACTAGTCGAATAACTAGACATGGGCCTGCATGAAGATCATACCAAATAAGGCAAAATGTACAGGGATCTAACCCCAGTCATTTTGACAATTTTACCTTTGTCACCCGTAAGAGACTGTAGGGCCCGGTAGCCTGCAGCTGTACTTCAGCGATATCGCAGCGGTGATACAGCGGTATTATGGCTACAATTTTTCCGAATGTTGAACCTCTTCTGAGAGGCTTGAAATTGTAGCTTGGTACGTCATAGCTTCTCTAGGAATCCTTGCCAGTGAAGACTTATAAATTGGTCAGACATCTCCTCTTCCAACAATATCGCAACAATCAATTCTGCTTCCCTCCCATTACATTCGAACGTCTGCGAGATGATCGAGGAGCCCTGAAACCCGAAACTATCATCAACGTCGTTACTGCACCGCAAACATCCCTAAACTCAAAGTCAATTTCACATAACATGACAACGAATGGTGGTAAACAGACAACAATCGCGGTAACTCCAGAAAAGAATCATGATTATGGAAAAACGCAGTCCACGAAAGTAAAAGACAAAGAAAAGGACCAGATCCACCTGTGAGTAAGTCCCCTACAAGCCAGATACAGAGTGATAGGCTACGGATACAAGATCACGGACTATTGGCTGACTAAAATTAGAACGTTAAGAATAATTTATGAGAAGCATAATAAGAGAATTAAATCCTCGCTTGGATGAAAATGGGGGACAGGAATTTGAGAAAGAATGATATTAAAAAGCGTTAAGAGTCGTCCTCCCGGCCGTTTCCGGAGAGTTTGCAAATGCGAATTCGAAGGTTATGTGCCTGGAGGAGAGCGTTCGGGCCAAGGTAAATGCGTTGAGCGGGAGGTGTCCCGGTCGGCGTTATTTACCTTGAAATTCAAATGTGCGTTTGGCGCGGTGGATACGAAAACACAAGTTTGGCTGTTGGAAGCAGATCACACAACTGGCAATGAAATTGAGATTTGAGGACGAGCATAAATGGAGGCAAGGGGGAAAGGGTTATCAACGATAGTGAAAATGTACTACGAATTTAGGACGAAAGTCGAACAATTTGAACTGTATTGGATCTGATAAGGTGGGATTTAGGATTGGATATAGTATGGATTGAGTCAAAGATCGAACCCAGATCTAGTCCCAAAGTCATATAATTGCTGTATTTCATCTTGTCACATTGACCATGATTACATTTCAGATGAGACGTTTAGATTCCATGACTCAAAATGTAGAACTCAACCGCAAACACCACATGAAGATGGTTTAGCATGCAAAAAACAACAGACCAGTTACATCCGGAAAAGACCAAGGGGATGTATCAAAAGAACATATCGTCATGCCAGTCATTCACTCATCCATTCATCCGTTCATTTATTGTTGATATATATATAGCAACACCCGAGAGCGAGTTTTGCCGAACTTGAACCATCTATCACCTGTCTGGGGCGAGATAAGGATCCAGGCTATACAGACTCTACTCAGTAGATCATCTGAATGATGACCCAACGCACGATCCAGCCTTAGCGATGTTAGCAGTTTTTGTTCAGTCATTCCATTAATAACCAGTCTAAGCATTAGACTACTGTAAGATATGCATCAACTAGGGGACTATTCTAAGTACCTGTCAGAGGTGTCTCCTATGAAGCTCCGGCCCTCACTGTAAAGTCTACAGAGCCGAGGTTGAGTAACACCGTCCTCAATTAGATGAAGATTCCCAATCGCTCTCGCGGTCTGAATTGTCTTCACCTGTTAGCACACGTTTTTTTTGCAACAGATTTGGATTGCGTATGCAGCTATCTAGCTATGACACAATATCAGAGAAAAGTACAGAAAATATGACTCAATTTACAAGAAGAGCACTCATACCTCGTATTTCATTTGCGAAAACCACTGCGAAGTTATGGCGGCTTTTTCTTCACCCAAAGTCAACCCTCGTCCGTGAATACCCACCCAGGGGAACGTCTCAAAAACCCTGAGTTATCCAGACATGCTTCCATCATCTTTCAACTTTTCTCCGGGCGAAATATGATCTGAGGTGTCTCTTTCCCAAGTGGAGTAGGTGCCCAGGCTACTCAAACTATGCCAGAGAACACCACCAGAAGGCGGACCACAACACCTTTCATCGTTTGCTTGTGTTTATAGTGTCAGCTGCACTCTCGCAAGCGAAGTCTTGGCGCGCACAAAGCTCAATTCGTAAAACTCCTTGCCAAAATTCGGAATCTCATGCCCGTCGAGGTTATATCCTTCCTTTGCATCATCTTGTCAACATGTCCTGATTCCTCTCACGTCCATCGCAAAGTGTTGGAAAATATACTCTGTACGATATTATATGGATAAATATGATGAAGTGAAGAAGACTTAATATTTTACAACTATGGGAACATTGGACTTATATATACATCTAAGGGAGAAATTCCCGCTAGCCTCGTGTGCCTGTCAAACCTAGTGATGACTAACCACCTCTCATCTACCATGATGAGCCAAGGTACACTGTAGTACGTAAATATCCAAACGTATAGGCGACAGTAGGCGCGATTAGCGTACTCAGGACATTTGTAGAGAGAGTCGATCTTGTCGGGAACCTGAGACGAAACAGGTAATGATTGAGTCCTAAATTCGAGAGTCAGAATTTCCAACACAAAGAACTATCTCCCAGATTTGTATACACCCACTACATGATTAGTCCAAATATCGGAGGGCAAGACTGAACATCTGTACGCGGTGTCCTCTACGAACCTGGGAGTGAAATACTCTCCCAGAGCCAAGTTCAGTCAAATTTCGCAATATCAATCAAGTTGGCCCACTAGGTAAAAATTCAAATTACTCCACGTCGTTTTTTCGCACCCAACGAGTTTGAATTCTACCTAAGTCTCATTGGTTCTGCAAGTACGACCTAGTCCATCCTCATCCCAATGATCACACCACTCCTCGACCTTCTCTGGTCTCAGTTGACTACCATATACACGCCCACGCCGATATTTACACCCGCAGGAGGAAGCAAAGCGTGGCGCACAAATCTGGGAGATAGCTCTTTGGGACGGACGTGAGAGGGATCAGGACAAGTTTATAAGATGATGCAGAAGAGGGATACGTTTACGACGGGCGTGAAATCTCGAATTTTGGCAAGAGTTTTACGAATTGAGCTTTGTGCGCGCCAAGACTTCGCTTGCGAGAGTGCAGCTGACACTATAAACACAAGCAAACGATGAAAGGTGTTGTGGTCCGCCTTCTGGTGGTGTTCTCTGGCATAGTTTGAGTAGCCTGGGCACCTACTCCACTTGGGAAAGAGACACCTCAGATCATATTTCGCCCGGAGAAAAGTTGAAAGATGATGGAAGCATGTCTGGATAACTCAGGGTTTTTGAGACGTTCCCCTGGGTGGGTATTCACGGACGAGGGTTGACTTTGGGTGAAGAAAAAGCCGCCATAACTTCGCAGTGGTTTTCGCAAATGAAATACGAGGTATGAGTGCTCTTCTTGTAAATTGAGTCATATTTTCTGTACTTTTCTCTGATATTGTGTCATAGCTAGATAGCTGCATACGCAATCCAAATCTGTTGCAAAAAAAACGTGTGCTAACAGGTGAAGACAATTCAGACCGCGAGAGCGATTGGGAATCTTCATCTAATTGAGGACGGTGTTACTCAACCTCGGCTCTGTAGACTTTACAGTGAGGGCCGGAGCTTCATAGGGGACACCTCTGACAGGTGTTGAGAATAGTCCCCCTTGGAGTAGAGGAATGAAGGGGAGATGGAAAAGAAAAGAGAGAGAGAACGTTTTATGTATTTCGAGATACCAGCTAATTGACATTATTCACCGACTTTGTCACAGCACCCAATTTATATTATTTCGTGTTTTACCAGCAATAGGGTTTTCACGCTTTTTCCCGTGGTGGGTCTGCACGGAAGGAGTTGTACGCTGTGAGGGTCAACCTCAAGTGGTATCTACAAATGAAATCTGAGTATGTTTCGGTTACACTACGACAAGTCAAGCGTAAGCAAGTATAGGTATATTCCAGGCTACTGTTTCGGTCCCAAGGAATATCTGATGCTTGCGCTGAGACGCCCGAAGAGGTTCCATGTCAATAATTATTACAGGGTAATGTCGTGTCAGGTCGTGACTAGTCGCGTGTCTGGCAAATATACAACTATCAAGGGAAGAAACGCGTACAGGACGTCTAGTCATAAGAACACTGTAATTTAGGAGATATATGTAACTTTCTAGTGTCATATGTGATTTGATCTAAACCTGTATATGGAGACTAGGTCTACTAGAAATATGGATAAATGACTAAGGAACGGGTATGGAAACGGTTATATATGGACATGATCTGGATGATTGGAAAAGGGATCATACGGAGCACATATCACAACCAGTTTTACTCGATCATCTTTTAGATATTTTGTACCTTATTTAACATAACAACTCAAATATATTCACTTATAGAAGTTATATCTTTAACACAACTTAGAAAACAATTGTCATCTTTGTCATCATACAATACCATAACTAAGTCAAACAGAGTATGAGTGCTCTAAACATCAAATTTGTTACGGTTTGACCGTTGTTTGAGCTTAGGTGGATACCTAAGCCTGTTACTAAGAATTCTTACTATGAAGCTGTATGAGGGGGAGATGAAGCTGAACGAAACGGGACTACTACTCAGGAGGCTGAAGCGTTATTACAACTTAGTGACACCTGGAAATACGTGGCTGGGTAAGAAGTATTGTACCTAAGGACAAGTCACTTGTCTGTAGATTCACGAGGAGGATTAACTCCTATAAATACCTGTTAGTAGTAGCTAAAGTTAGCTTTTCTCCTCATATAGTTTATTAAATTGATTTATTCATCACCAACTCGGTTTCCGTCACAATATAAACTATATCATTCAAATCCTTTGCCCGTGATTAAGTACATCGCAGTCGTAGATAACTGTGACTTAGGGCATCTTTAATTATTGGTTTCAACGCACAGGGATTCTAAGAATCAACAATGGGTTCAGAAATGAACAATTTTACTATCGGAACGGACTTTGTGGCAACTGGTCTATCAAACCAGAAATATATGCCACACGGAGAAATACAATCGGAAATACAGCGACTGGTCGAAGAAATGAGATTAAGAGGAATGGAACACAGAAGAGACCTTGGTATTCTACGATCTCAGATGAACAAAATGATGAAAACAATGCAGGAACGATAGGAGAATGAGAAAAAAACTCCCCTGCAACCGTCAAGAGCTAATGTGGGAGGCCAATCAGAATGCAGAGAATGTTTCATTAAAGAAGAACCACTTAAATAGCCAGAAGCATACAATTACAAGGATAGAACTAAGTGGGCAATTACACATGGAATTCTTAGGTACATATACAGGCGTGACGTAGAGGAGCGGAATATTCTTCAACTGTCTGACTTTTTAATACAACTATTTTGTTACGGTTTGGCCGTTGTCTGAGCTTATGTGGATACCTAAGCGTATTGTTGAAGATTCATGTTGTAAGACTGTAAGGAAATGATAGAGGAAACTGGAAGATACGGCACTACCAGCCAAGGGGCCAGATCAGTGTCACAGCGTAGTGATTCTTGATAATATGTGGCTGGGTGGCAAGTATTCGGCCTAGGGTGAAGAAATCAGTCAAGACAATCACTGAGAGGCTGAATATTATAAATACCTGTTAGTTGTAGCTAGATTTCTCTTTCTTCTTTATACAGTTTATTAAATCGACATTATCATCACCAACTCGGGGTTCCCGTCACAATATAAACTGTATCAATTCATCGTTTGCCCGTCATTAAGTATACCGCAGTCCTAGTTGACAGTGACTTAGGGCATCCTATAATCAAAGGTGTTTATCAGTAAGCACCTTAATCAAGTTGAGGTTGTACAGGAAGTTGATGCCAACGTTTGCTCTACCATCAACATCAACAGACGAGGCATCTAGCTCTGGACAATCAAGTCGTCAAAGTAGGATCTCATTCAAATCAGCGCAGGGATTTGAAGAACTGGTAACGGGTCCAG